TCCAAAGGATTAAGACGAGGTTATTAATTGGAGGCCTTCCCCTTTAAGAATGATTGACAGTTACTTTCTGGACAAGTAATTGCTCTAAATGTCCCCCCAGCACGGGTCCGGGGGGGCAGGGGCGGACAAAGCCCCGAACTGCCTTCCCCACTCGGATTGTCTCCCCACAAAGGCGTCCTGCTGGAGTTTGCCGTGTAATCCCCTCATTACGGGCGAGGAGAAAGAATTAGAAACAGGGGGAGCGGAGAAGAAAGGATGGAGGGGGAGGGGGCAGGATTTCCTTGGGCTGCAGAGGCTCTGCCCCAGGGATGGGGTCCAGGGCAGATGCCCCAAGCCTCGGTGGGATGGGGATGCTGCAGTGACGGATGCTGTCCCCCCAGATAGGGATGGCATGTCTGGGGGTGGCCCTGTGACAGCGTGGGTGGCCCTGTGGCTCCCAGTGATGCTGCCTGCAGAGCCCTGCCCATGTAGGAAGCAGAGATGGGAACAGGTGTGAGGACAGGGATGGGGACTAGGCATGGGCTCCCACTGTGAGGACCCAGGGTGCAGACATGGTCTGGGGATCTGCTCTGGGGTCTGGTTGTGGGCCCAGGTGTAGGGACCAGCCACAGAGAGCAGCCCCCCTGAACAGGCTTGGGAACCTGGTATGAAGACCGGGCAGGGAACACTCACGAGGACCAGAGCAGAGGGACCAGGCAGGAGGGCCAAGTGTGGGGAGCAGCCATGGGGCAGTGCCCACAGGACCAGGTGTGAATGAATCATGGGCATGGGACTGAACACTGGGGCCAGGCATGGGAACACTCTGTGGGGACCAGCTGTGGGATCCAGCCAAGGGGACAATCCCTGGGGAATGCCCATGGGCCCTGGCCTGAGGGGCTGTGGGACAAAGGCAACCAGGCTGAGGAGCAGGACTACCATTCTTCTCCCCACTCCCACTGCTGCCCCTGGGTCCCAAAGAATGATGGAAACATCATGGTGGGGTTCCTGGGCTGTGCTGGGGGATGTGCTTGCCCACAGCTGCCCACAGCTCCCATCATCTGCAGTGGATTTTGCCCTTTTCTTTCTTTGCTCACTTTTACTTTCTCCCAAAACCATCTTCCTGCCACCTGTAACCGCCCCCGGACCTGTCTAGGCTTCCTCCCACTCCCTTCCCCTCCTTGCCACGCTTCCCCTTTCGGATAGCAAATGTCACTGTGGGGGTTTTGGACCCCAGCACCCTGTGCCAGATGGCTGCTGGCTCCTGAGAGGGTCTGTGCCCTCCGCACAAGAGCTGCTGTTGGTGAGACCCCACAGCCCACTCTGTGCCCTGGTGTGGACCCCAAGGCCATCCTGTTGTCCCTACCCAGGTTATGAAGCTTCACCTGCCCTGTCTCACACCTCCTTGGGGACAGTGTGATGTTGTCTTGAGGATGGCACACCACCGCCCTGGGGACACTGTGCCGCCACCCCAGGGACACGCTGGCACTGCCCTGAGGATGGCAAGACCACACACCAGGGATGGCATGACACAGGTGGGCCATGCGGCCCCTGGGGGTGGGGTGACACCCCCATGCCATGCAGTGCTGCCAGAGAGCGCAGGGGAGGGCAGGGAGGGGCTGCCTGTGGAGGTACCAGGGACATCCCCAGGGCACGGGCGATGTGTGGGGCCCGGGGCGCAAACTGGACCCCACTTGCCCGGATGCCCGTGCTGGCCACTGTGACGAGTGCAGGAGCCGCGTGCCCCTCACTGATGCTCCCCCAGAGTGCCCCCCCGGCCCGGGGGCGCAGGGAGGTCCCCGGGGTGCCGGGTTTGGGGGCACGGGACTGCCCAGCTGCCCGGCCCCGGCGCTGTGTGTGCCGTGCCGGCCCCACGGCCACCGCAAGGTGTTGCCTCGCCCGGGGGGAGGCAGCAGGCTGATTTGCCAAATGATTATAATTGCCTTTTAGGAGCAGATAGCAAATTGATTTGCTTCCTTGTCCAAGGCCCGTAATCACTTCATCACTTTAAAATATTAATGCTATACTTCTTTGCTAGTTTCCCAATTACCCTAATTGAAGGCAAATTGGTTAAGAAGGTGCAATGCAGAGTATCAGGGGGTTTAGTTCACTCAAATGACAGTTTTAAACCTCCCTAATCCTATTAGCGCGCAAAGCTGCTAACGCTTAGAGACGCTGCGTCAGCTTACCGGGGCGGTGGGGCCGG